ACTCTGACGTTGGCATGCTTCCCTATCTTTTTCAAATTGTGTGCGATCCCATGCATATACGGCACAACGGTACACTTTTTATTTCTGTTGCACTCCGATAACGATAGCCGGCCCTGGTTATGCTTTAGCTTTTTAAAATAGATTCTGCGACAGAAATTAACAGATGTGATGGATAAGCTGCTGCCTTAAGGCGTTCAAGTTGTTTACTGAAGCTCTCTGAAATTAAGTGGCGACAAGACTTCTTTAGGGCATTAGTAAAGCACGTAGTGGCAATAGACCTCTTTACCAATTTAGAATGGCAGGAATCAAAAGGTAGCAATGGTTTACTGGCTCGTGGCTCATACTCCCAGCAAATGTGATCTGTTTCAAATTTAAGCTTTAGATCAAGAAACCTAATGACCTGCCCCACTGGTAATTCATGCGTCAAAACAAGTGGCTGGAAATGCTTTCGAAATTCATTTAGCACTTCTAACATTAGTGGTTGTAGGCCTGACTCGTCCGTCTGAAAAATAACTAAGAAATCATCTACGTAGCGGAAGACCTTGGTCAGCCTTAAAACATTCATGTGGTCGTGCATTTGCCTATCTAGATGCGCTAGGAAAAGATCACTTAATATCGGAGCTATGCTAGATCCAATGCAGACCCCATTTGTCTGGATGTAAACCCTGTCATTCCATGTTGTAAAAGTCGAATTAAGGTACATGGTTAAAAGCTCTAAAAAACTGCCAACCGCAGTTTTTTAGAGTGGACATGCCATTAAGGGTAATAGTATCGGAAAATGGTACGTGGCAGAAATGTTTGTCTTCGTTTCTGCAAGAAAAGTTAAGGAAATTGGAAGTAAATGACCCCTTTATTGTGCGAAAATCTGACGATGTGATTGCGTTTTTAGATACCTGTAACGACAAAAGCTACATGGCATGCTCATTGGATGTAAAGGACCTTTACTATTCTTTGCCTCATAGTCGACTTATGCTGTGTATTGAAGAGTGTATAGATAAGCATGGTGCAACCGCCTTTCAGAACGACACAGGGTTAGCGGTTGGCAGTTTTTTAGAGCTTTTAACCATGTACCTTAATTCGACTTTTACAACATGGAATGACAGGGTTTACATCCAGACAAATGGGGTCTGCATTGGATCTAGCATAGCTCCGATATTAAGTGATCTTTTCCTAGCGCATCTAGATAGGCAAGTGCACGACCACATGAATGTTTTAAGGCTGACCAAGGTCTTCCGCTACGTAGATGATTTCTTAGTTATTTTTCAGACGGACGAGTCAGGCCTACAACCACTAATGTTAGAAGTGCTAAATGAATTTCGAAAGCATTTCCAGCCACTTGTTTTGACGCATGAATTACCAGTGGGGCAGGTCATTAGGTTTCTTGATCTAAAGCTTAAATTTGAAACAGATCACATTTGCTGGGAGTATGAGCCACGAGCCAGTAAACCATTGCTACCTTTTGATTCCTGCCATTCTAAATTGGTAAAGAGGTCTATTGCCACTACGTGCTTTACTAATGCCCTAAAGAAGTCTTGTCGCCACTTAATTTCAGAGAGCTTCAGTAAACAACTTGAACGCCTTAAGGCAGCAGCTTATCCATCACATCTGTTAATTTCTGTCGCAGAATCTATTTTAAAAAAGCTAAAGCATAACCAGGGCCGGCTATCGTTATCGGAGTGCAACAGAAATAAAAAGTGTACCGTTGTGCCGTATATGCATGGGATCGCACACAATTTGAAAAAGATAGGGAAGCATGCCAACGTCAGAGTGCTGTTCTCTGCGCCGATAAAGCTGTTGTCCATATGTGCGCAAGTGAATAAACCCGCAAGAGTGCCGCAGCTCTGCGCAGTAAATCATAAATTTAGCTACATACTTTGCGCGGAAAATGTAGTTTATTCGATCCCGCTGTCCTGTGGAAGGATATACGTGGGCCAAACAGGAAGGTGCGTAAACACAAGATTGAAGGAGCATGAGTACAACGTGAAAAATACTATTAGCGGCCACCTTGGCATCCATTGTAGGGATTGTGGGTGCACACCGCTGTTTCGCGACACTAAAATCCTAGCCAGGCACAAAGAAAGAAAAACTAGGGAGATAATGGAAGCGGCTGAAATTGCACGTCTGAAAGATCAATGTGTAAGTAGGGCATCTGTAACCCTCTCTCAAAAAGAGATGGACTTCTTATCTGTAGGATGAACACGTGTGCGGTGAGACAGTAGCGATATGGTGATGGTGACGCTTGTGCGAATTTTTTGATATTGTGGTGGACACGTGTTATTTGCCTGCCATGATATATATTTGTTCGCATTTCCTAATAAAGATCAGTTGTAAGCAGCGCTCTGTCCTGTCTCTTCCTTTCTTCCTGCCGTTGTTTGCGCTGTGTTTTTAATCATGTGTTTTCTGCCAACTGACTGCACAGCCCTCAAAGCACGCACGTTTACCTCAAAGGGGTTCGTTTTTTGTTGCCCGGAGCACCTCGGGGACGACCACGCACTGTTCACTATGCCACAATTGTCACAAAAAAGTTCCATCCTCGCCGCGAGTCCAAGGCAGTGCGTAGTCTCGAGGCGTATCGACCCTTCGTCGCACTTGTTGCACTTTACTGACGAAAGCAGACCGTTCAGCATCATCTTATTTACAATGAAGAATGTGAAGTCCTTACCGCCGTCATTTTCGTCGCAGCCTTCGTTCAGAAGCTCGAGCTTCCGCTTTGAAGCGGATTTCGATGCTACGGCATCCAAAACATCCCGCCCTGCGCCCGCTGCGCGATTTCTTCACTGCTCGGAATCTGGGCCGAAACTCGCGATAGAATGTTCGACGCGCGCACGCCCGGAGTTGCAACGGCTGCCGACGCGGTGCCACCGCGATCGGGTTCGCGAGAGCGTCCATCACGGTCGACGGCATCCGGCGGTCTGACATACGACGATGTGGCACCTTCCACACTCTCGGCCTCACAACAATCAGCGAAGGGTCTGAGTAGAGGCTCCGTGACGCTTGAAGAGCATGCTCCGTCCGGAACTGCGACTGGGACGGCAGCCGCAGTCGTCTGCCCTTTGTTCCAAGCTTTCCGACGCTTGCCGTACTTGTGGACGCTCCGGAACTTTTTTTGCGACAACATAGCACCGCAGTATGAGCAAGCACTCAGAAGAGACCACCGATGTAAACAAAGCTTGGTAAAAAAAGCACGCGAACTATCACAAAACAGCCAACTGGCAAAAAACGAAGCGCACGCCGGATGATTCTCGACTCGGCGGCCGCAGATGCGCTCGCGCTTCCAAGGTTGCCAAGGTGCGCGGCGCAGCTTTGACCAGTAAGAGGTCGCGCCTGCTACCACGTGACCCGCGCAGCCAATTGCCGTTCTTCGTTTTCGTTTTTTTACTTGCTCCTCGCGCTTTTATTTTCACTCGGCGAAATACGAGACCGCGACCATCGGGAAGCCGGCTTTCTCCTCTTTCCAAAGCTACCGAAATGGCGGCCCACGGTCAACAACTTGGCGCGTTTGTGCGGCGTGAACAACACCGTTTCAGGGGCTTTTTTTTCGCACTTTTCGGCGACTAGCCTCGGCAAAAACACTATATGCGGGATTTGTAGCGCACGTTTCGCTGTAATATTTTAGAACAAGGAAGTTGAAGGTCTGAAGATTACGAAAAAAAATAAATCAGAAAATCGCATATTTTGACCAAAATCGGCACTTTACTTGCCGCGCCCCCCCTTAAGTAAATAAATGCCTGGTAGCACACTGTGAAAATAAGTATGCACAAAATTGTAAATAAGGCCCACACGTACGCTCTTCACAATGCTGGCTGCATGTAATCGTGTGCAATGCCTGGTATCATGTTGGAAAAGTATTATACCCGTGCCACACGGGCATAGAAAATGACATTTGGTGGCGAAGGCCTTCAGCTCCCGAATGACATTCGTTTCGCCGGCGCTGCTACACGTCCAAAGCGAATGACATTTGACTTGATGATGTCGATCACAGCACCTTCCAAGTGAGCATTGAGTGAATAGCAATAAAAAAAATTAAGAAGCATTTACAAGCTTCGTACACATCAGATAATCATCCAATGTAGAAATAAGCGTATTACGCTGTCCTAAGTTTTAGTTTCTTGCTTTGTTTTACAACGTTGCAGCCGACTGTAGCAACTTAAGCCAACACTAGTCAAATCCACAGCGTAAATAGACACTAAAATTGACAAGCGTTTCATTATCAATACTTTATTTTCTTCGTATAACGTTCAAAGCATCTTTTTAAGACTTTAGTGCAAATAAAAGACGGGAAATTTCATTTTTAGCTCAATATGATTTGTTTTATATACTTTCAGGTAAATCGCACTTCGCGAGCTGTGTCGTCGAGAGTAGGCATTTCTCAGTCAACTGAGTTCTGGCGAAGGCAGTTGGTGGCGAATGGCATTCGAATGGCATTCGGATGAATGCCATTTTGTTCGCCCGTGTGGCACCGCACGAATGGCAATAAATCTGAAGGCATTCGGGGGTAAATGCCATTTTTTCTGCCCGTGTGGCACGGGTATTATAATGGGAGCCTCAGTACAAATTTCTCAGTAACCACACGATTATGAGGCATAAAAGTGCATAGCTTTGGAAATTGAGCCTACCTTTGGCCCTCTGTCGTGCACCTATGTCTAAGTACATGCGCCTGTGGTATTTCGCCCACACCGAAATGCGACCGCTACCGCCGATATTAAAGGCATGTTCTCACATAAACTAGCTATTAGTTCTTTGCCTATAAGCATCCTAATAACCGAGCTGATTAAAGGCACCAAATAAAATATGAGTAACATTTAGTATGAAACAAACAGGACGGCTACATATTGTGCATTCATTGAACACTTTCTTGCATTTCACTGCTATAACGCATCTGCAATAAGCCTGAACCTAATGAAATAAGCACTACGCACTACGTTTGACAACACGAGTGAAGAAGCACACCTCAGTTAATTGCAATCATGCCAAGGATAATCAAAAATAGTGTACGTTACCTTCACAGACAGTAACGGTATTCGCATCATGTCCATCATCAACCCTCGGCTTCTCATTGACCAATGCCGTAACTTCATTCGCATAATGCCTGTGAACAACAATCGGCTTCAAGTCCGCAGTAACTTTATTCGCATAATGTCCGTGATCAACACACGGATCCACGTCCGCCGCAGTTTGATCCGCATGAAGTACATCATCAAAACTCGGCTTCTCGTCCACAAATGGCGTAACTTCATTCGCATAATAACTGTGATCAACACTCGCCTTCACGTCCGACGTAAATTCATTCGCATAATGTCCATGGTCAACACACGACTTCACGTCCGTCGTAAGTGCATTCACATAATGTCCGTGATCAATAATAGGCTTCAAGTCCATCGGAACTTCATTCGCATAATGATTTTCTTCAAGCAAGCCTTCAACACTCGCTTTCACATCCGTCACTGCACTAGTCACTGCCAGAATGCCGTCCATTGCACCATCGCCTTCTTTAGTTAGGAGGCTATGAACTATAGAGAAGGCCATTATTACGCGAGTTTCACCTAGAAAACGTCGCCCGTCGCGGTTTCACTTTACACAGCGGTCAGGAATGAAGTTACCACTCAAACCTTGAATAACTAATGCAAATAACAATAGGATAACACATTCAAAAGTCCCAGATCTGCGTGACGCATAGGTAGCATAGCTTTCTGGCTATTATTGGCTATATTTCTTCTTCCATGGTTCGATGATGATGGATGTTCCCACAGAAATACTACTCCCCACTGGGTTTTTACGTATCAGACCAATTACACGAAAGGATTTTTTTTTTTCTAAAAATGTCGTTTCTGGTGTTTGGTTATGTTGAATTTCTGTCATTTTGGTGAACAGAGATTATGTGTATACACTTTTGTGGAATAGATACACGCAAAGAGACCACGGGTCAATTACTAAACCGAAACTGAAAGTGCTTTGTGTACATCATAGGATTAGTTTAATGAGTAGTATTTTGTTCGTTACTTAACAGCAATCATATCAAGTGCTCAACATGTCATAATGATCTACAAGCATCGTTAACGCGTAACGTGGTACAGGTGTTGTTCACGCTCAAGGACACGTATGTGACTCTGTGTGAACCATCAAACTTAATCAATTGCTTTGTTAAATGATGTACCCTGTCGTTCTCTCTTCAACGGCTCTCTACAGTATCTTGCAGTGCTTGTCTACGGCCCACGGCCACCTGGACCGGGCCACAGAACACCAACCAGTTGACCGGGCGGGCAGGCGGCCGTGAGCGGCGCTTGAAAGATGAGAGCTAGACCGCACGGATCCCCACCCACCTTTTTTTTTTTTTTTCATGTAGTAGGTCGTCTCACACATCCTCCTCAATCGTTTTTTTTTCTTTTGCCTTTAGCTAGGGATATTTTTTGCCTGTATATTTATTAATGCTAAGCCACTATACACGCGGCATGAGTTTCATACACACGCACCACATCATCATCAACCAGTGACATAACATCATTTTGTGAGAAACTATTTGATTTTACTCAAGCAGGTTTTTATAAACATTAATTTCCTTGATTCCATTAGGGCCCCTAGAACCATATCTGACACCAAAAGCCTACGTCTTCTCTTTTGCGGTCTGTTGATGGTCGCAAAGTACCATGTGTTATCTGATGGTCCTGTAGGCAGTCGCCAGAGAACGCAGGCCACGCGCTCGTGTGTTCCCTTTCATAAAGGAAGACAGTGTACATACGTGTGTCATTTCAATGATGGCTTTTAAAAATAAAAAAAGTGGTACGCGGGCTTGTGGGGAGGCGCGAGAGACTCGGAGAAGGGAACGACTAAGTAAGAAGGCGAAGCTAGCACGGACGAAGTAAACATTGATGTTTAGAGTCGCGACCACGGGTCCTTGTTCTTAACAATGGCAATAGAAGCACATTTGACATTTTTAGAGAAATTCAGATCGAGCATGGTCCCTACGCTGGAAAAGCATGCCTCAAAAATGATTAGCACCGCAGCGCTCGAAAGTGTCCCGTCCTGGTATTAATGCTGCAAAACCAACCATATATATATATATATATATATATATATATATATATATATATTGTGAGGGCTTTATTAGCCGGCACACAGCGAGCATACACAATGGCGACAGTAACGGCCAAGCACGGACTCTCCGCGCGAGCGGCGTCCTTTTTGGGTAGACCCACTAGAAAGCACTTGAGAGTTCAACCCATTTGAGAGTGTTCGGGGGCTTCTCTACAATTACCCCGGGGTCGAAGAGGAAGCCGCCTGGCGACCTAACAGCTTGTCACTATGAGCGGGTCATAGTAGGCTTTCAGGCGCTCCACGTTAACTATGTCGCGCCCACGACAGCGCATGCCCGCAGACTCTTCAATTGGTTTGATCAGTTAGTTGAACGGAGATGTGCGCTCGATCACACGGTAGGGACCTTCGTATTCCGCGAGTAGTTTGGAAGAAAGGCCAGCTACAGAGGTCGGGATTGAGAGCCATACATGAGAACCAGGAAGGAACGTGGGTTCAGAAGTGGTGGAGCCATCACGAATACTCTTCTGCCGCTCTTGCTCATGTGTTGTAAAAGTCTTGGCAAGCTCGCGACACTCTTCAGCAAGCCTGGTGGTCTCGGAAACAGGTGTACACTCGTATGGATCCAGCGTGTACGGGAGTATCGTGTCGATGGTGTGTGACGGGTGCCTTCCGTACAGCAAGAAGAAAGGTGAAAAACCGGTCGTGCTCTGAGGGGCAATGGTGTAGGCGTAGGTGACGAAGGGCAGTATGGTATCCCAATTCGTGTGGTTGACGGCGACGTACACCGAAAGCATGTCGCTGAGGGTGCGGTTAAAGCGTTCGGTGAGACCATTCGTCTGCGGGTGGTTTTTGCGGCGGAGAGAATAGCACTCAGTGAGAATGGCTTTGACGACTTCTGACAAGAAGACACGGCCTCAATCGCTGAGAAGCTCCTGGGGTGGACTGTGGCGCAGTATGAATTGATGCAGTAGGGAAGACGCAACATCACGCGCAGTAACAACAGAAAGAGCGGCGGTTTCGACGTATCGCGTTAAATAATCTACGGCGACGATGGCCCAGCAGTTACCATCCGACGTCCAAGGACGTGGTCCATACAAATCGATACCTATGTGCCCAAACGGATGGTCAGGGCAAGGTAACAGTTGCAGACCGGCTGACGACATGTGTGCTGACGGTTTGCGGCGTTGGCAAGCAAGGCAGGAGCAAACGAACTGCTGAACGTAGCGGTACATCCTGCGCCAGAAGTAGCGTTGTCGAATGCGATGGTAGGTTTTGAATACCCCAGAGTGCGCGCATTGCAGATCAGAATGGGAGGATTCACATATCTCCGACCGCAGACTGCGGGCTATCACGAGTAACCACTGCCGGCCATCGGCGTCGCAAGTGCGTCGGTGTAGGAGGCCGTCACGAATGGTGAAATGGTGAGCTCGACGACGCAAGGCACGCGTGGATTGCGTTGCGGACGGATCAGAGAGCAAGTCGATAAGCCGGGGCGATCCAATGATCCTTTCGTTGTTTGGTAGCGATGATGTCAACATCAATGGCAGAAACAGCAACCGAGGATACTGAGCAAAGCACATCACCTTCAGGTAGAGGGGAGCGTGAGAGGGCGTCGGTGTCTGCATGCATACTGGCGTCCGTTGCGGTACAGCACGTGGATGTCATAGTCTTGTAAGCGAAGAGCCCAACAGGCGAGATGGCCGGAGAGATCCTTCAATGATGACAGCCAGCATAGTGCATGATGGTCGGCGAAGACATCGAATGGACGACCATACAAATAGCCGACAAGCCACTTGTGCTTGTCGTTCAGTGTTTCTTTACTTTGTGTGTGTTATTTTGCGGCCAAAGCATGTCAGTAAGCATACAAATAAGGTCGAAACTTTGTAAGGACCCAGACGATTGCCAGGCACGTGTACTCTTTCCCCGTGACGGTGTAGTTTGTCTCGGCTCTCGTGAGCGTCCGGCTTGCATATGCCACGACGTATCAGGGAATCCGGATTTGCGCTGCGCCAGGACTGCGCCGAGGCCTACACCACTGGCGTCCGTGTGTATTTCCGTTGGGGCCGTAGGGTCGTAGTGGCGTATAATGGGAAAAGACGTCAACAAATGGCGGAGCTTCAAGACGACCACGAATTGAGGGACCCGTTACTTGCAAGGAGCTTCGTCAGCGGTGATATAATCGTGGCACAGTTTCGTATGAAGCGTCGGAAGTATGAGCACAGGCCCACGAAACTACGCAGTTATTTGACAGATGCAGGTTTGGGGAATTCGGCCACGGCCCGAAGCTTGGCTGGGTCAGGAAGAATGCCATCCTTGGACACGACGTACCCTAGGATGGTGAGTTGCCGTGCTGCAAAGCGGCACTTCTTCAGATTTAGTTGCAAGCCGGCATTGCTCACTCATGCGAAAACTTCTTTCAGGCGTTGGAGATGCGTGGAGAAATCTGGAGCGAAGACAACAACGTCATCGAGGTAACACAAGCACGTGTGCCATTTCAAGTTTCGCAGAACGGTGTCCATCATGCGCTCAAATGTCTCAGGTGAATTGCACAGACCAAACGGCATGACGTTGAATTCGTACAAGCCATCGGGTGTGATAAAGGCAGTCTTCGGTCGAGCGTCATCAGCCATGGGTATTTGCCAGTACCCCGAGCGCAGATGGAAGAAGAAGAAGAATAACTTTATTTATGAAGTCCAGCGAAGTTGATTTGGGGCGGGCCTAGGCGTCGGCCACGAGCCCTTGGGCTCGGGCGGCTTCCTCGGCTCGCTGGACGGCCCACAGTTGTTGTTCGAATGAGGAGCTGAGCAGAGCCCCCTCCCAGCGTGTCCTGCGGTCCGAAACTGCCTCTTCGTGGTTTTCATCGTTGCTTTCATCTAAACTCGAGCATTCCCATAGTATATGTGAAAGTGTCCCCCTTTCATCGCAAACCTTGCATTTTTCTGTTAAATACAGATCAGGGTAACAGAGACTAAAGAGAACTGGATTCGGATAAGTATATGTTGCAGTTGTCGCCACGCAACTGCCTGTTTTTTATTTAACCTGTTGTGTGGCGGAGGGTACTTTCGCCTTTCTAGCTTATAGTGCTGCGTTATTTCGTGGTAACTAGTCATGCGGTCCCCCCACTCCCACTCCCCCCCGCGTGGAACTTCGTCCGAGGCGGCGTCGGCGTTCGCAACGGCTCGGTTCGTGAGTGCTCGAGCCGCCGCGTGCGCCGCCTCGTTGCCGGCCAGCGGGGTTTGTGTGTGTGCGGGGGTCCATATGACGAAAGTGTCATTTTTTTCCCGAATTTTGTCTTCGTTAGTCATTAGGATTCGCAGCGCCTCTCGGGAGACACGACCGTTCGCATAGTTGCGTATCGCTGCTTGCGAGTCACTAATTACTACTTCGGCCTCAGTGGTCGCCACCGCGAGTGCTATGGCCACCTCCTCGGCCGTCTCGGTCAGTGGCGTTTGCACCGTAACACTCGTCATGCATGTCCCTTTACCGTCGACCACCGCGGCCACGTAACCACACCTTCGCGCGTATCTGGCCGCGTCCACGAATACCGCTTCCTTGCAATTTCCGAATTTTCTCTGCAAGTCCTGCGTTCTCTGGTTTCTTCGGCCGGTGTGATGTTCCGGGTGCATATTTTTGGGCAACGGCGGAA